GCTTTGTTGCTCCTGGGAGACACCGACCAGAGCACATGGCTGCAGCGAAGAGGGTGTTGCGCTACTTGTGCAGTACGTCGGGCATGGGGCTAGTGCTTGGAGGGCGCAGTCCAGTGGTCCTCACTGGGCACGCAGACGCTTCTTGGGCTGACGACCAGGCTACGCAGCGGTCGTCACAGGGTTACACCTTCAGCCTTGGTTCCGGCTCTGTCTCGTGGCGGGCTACCCGCTCGTCTTCTGTTCTTGGCTCCAGTTGTGAGGCTGAGATCTACGCTGGGGCTATGGCTGCACAGGAGTTACGCTGGCTCACCTACCTGCTGACCGACCTTGGAGAGCAGCCTCGTTCTCCTCCAGTCCTGTACGTAGACAACAAGGCCATGCTGGCCTTGTGTCGAGAGCAGCGACTGGAGCACAGAACGAAGCACATTGCTCTCCGCTACTTTCTTGCTCGTGAGCTACAGCAGCGTGGACAGTTGCGACTTGCGTACGTGGCCTCTGAGGCCAACACTGCTGATGTCTTCACCAAGGCACTTGCGCCTTGTGATCATCAGCGTTGTTGCACGCAGTTGGGTCTTGTGCCTGTCTTGCCTCACTTGCTCTCCTCTTGACCTTGCTTGTACCTTCGCCTATATATACTCTTGCTCTTGCTTGCTTGACTCTTGTATATCTCTGTATATGATCTTGCATGTGAACTGGCCTTCTGGCCTTTGAACTTGTGCTCGGAATGCGTGGTGACTTTGTGATCCACCCTGAGCTTTGCTTTGCTTTGCTTGACTGGTCTTGTGACCCCTTGTTCTCCCCCACTTTGCCTATGGGGGTGTGTCAGAACATATAGCTTACTTGTTTCTGTAGGCTATAGTGGGGTATCCCATAGGGGGTACAACACAATTAGGGTTTCCTATTTGTATTCACTTCACTTCATAGTCATTCATTCTCGTTCACACTTTCTCAGGGGCTAGTGCTTGGAGGGCGAGTCCCAGTTGTTCTCATTGGGCACTCAGACGCTTCTTGGGCAGACGACCAAGCTACTCAGCGGTCGTCTCAAGGTTACACCTTCAGTCTTGGCTCTTGTTCAGTTTCTTGGCGTTCTACTCGCTCTTCTTCTGTTCTCAGCTCCAGTTGTGAGGCTGAGATCTACGCCACAGCCATGGCGGCCCAGGAGCTACGCTGGCTCACCTACTTGCTGACCGACCTTGGAGAGCGGCCTCGTTCTCCTCCAGTGCTGTACGTCGACAACAAGGCAGCCATTGCCTTGTGTGAGGAGCACAGACTGGAGCACAGAACAAAGCACATTGCTCTGCGGTACTTCCTTGCTCGAGAGCTGCAGCAGCGTGGTCAGCTTCGTCTGCGTTACGTGACCTCTGAGGCCAACACTGCTGATGTGTTCACCAAGGCGCTTCAGCCTTGTGACCATCAGCGCTTTTGCACTCTTCTAGGCCTTGTGCCTACTGGACCTCACTTGCTTACTTCTTGAGTCTGTTTGTACTGTGATCTCTATATATATGTACCTGCATGTTTACTCTTGCTAGGTTGTGATAATTGTACCTCTTGTTCTATTATAAACCTGCATGTGAACTGGTCTTGTGACCACTTGCTTGTGCTCAGAATTTGTGTGGTATCCTTGAGATCCACCCTGAGCTTGTTTTGCCTTGCTTTGCCTTGACTGGTCTTGTGACCCCTAGTTCTCCCCCACTTCGCCTATTGGGGTGTGTCAAACATTATATATGTTGTGCTTGTTTAGGCTACAGTAGGTTAGCCTATAAGGGGTACATAATTCTAGGGTGAGGTACTTGTACTGATTTCATTGTTAGTTCAATCATTCATGTTCGTTCATTTCAACACCCGGTTCTAATTCTATTCAGTGGTCGTGTGCTCGCTAAGGTGGCAGTCCTTCCGGTAAGTCGTCGGGAAAAATCCCCGTGTATCGTTTCAACAATTCCTGTACTTCGAGTTGTACCGCTGCGAGCAGTTTCTTGAAATCACTCGGTTGTTCTGCTCCTTCTTCCACTGCAATGTCTACTGCGTATACGTGAGCTCCAGCGGCGACAGCCCGTTTCATGGTGACGGCGTTGACGTGTACCGTTGAAGACTCGGGTGACTGCCAGCGAAGTAGTTCGACTCAGTTACCACTACTTCGCAAAGTGAAGCTACCAGTCGTCCAGTCAATTAGCGGGTTATACCGTCGCAGCCAATCACGTCCCAGTAAAATGTCGTGCCCGTCCAGTGTCGTCGAAAGCATTTCGTGTGTAAACCTGAAATTCCCGTCGCAGCGGACTTTGACTCTCTCCACCTTTTCCCGTATGGCCAGTGGCATGCCGTCAACTAAGCGTGGATCTATCTTAGGTAAGCAACGGCTAAGTGTCAGTTGCAGTTTCCGTGCGGTTGCGGTATTAACTAAACTGTGACTTGCTCCTCCGTCGATAAAAATCTTCACCCTTGCTCCATGTATTTTCCTGTGGATCAGTACAGGGCAATTCGTCGCTGTACCCTCCTTATTCGTCCGAGCCCGATCGATAGTATGAATCGGTACTGTGACTCGGTGAGGGTCGGTGGGGTTGGGCGAGCAGGTAGTCTCGTTAGTAGTTGGCCCGATTCCTACTGAGTGCTGGCGTTTCCCTGCCTCGGAGACTCCCTCCCCTGCTCTACTCTACGTCGCCTCAGCTCCTCTGGGCACTCACTCTTGCGATGGCCCTGCCTATTGCAAGCAAATCAGCGCCTCTTAAACGGCGCGGCAGCTGCATTCGTTGCAACGGCATGTACGGTGGCGTGCTCGATCGGCCCTCGAGGGCAATGTCCGTAATAGGACCCCGGTCACGGACGGCGCAAAATGTCGATTTTCTCGGCGAGCGCGAGAATCTCGTTGAAGTTCAAGAGCCCGCGTAGCATGATCTCGTGCGAGATGTCTGGCTTCAGCCCTCCGACGTAACGGTCCACCCGCTCCGCTTTGTGCATGTAGCCGACTTGCTCGCATAATGCGAGAAAACTGCTTTTGTAGTCTTGAACCGACTCGAGCTGCCGCCAAGTGCGCAGTCTTTGACGTGCCGAAATCGAAGCCGCGATCGGCTCGAAGCGCGCCCGAAGCCCTGCGCACCACGCATCCCACGTGCTGTACTGGGCGTTTTCGCAGAATAAACTCCAGATGACAGCTGGACCCGTGGGCCCTTCCTCTTGCGACGGTGGCTCGTAGGCGCGTGGCGATGTCACGATGACTCGCCACCAATCCATGGCGGGCCCCTCAGCAGCGAGACGGCGTATCTGATCTTCCCTGCGTCGGACTCGACGTAGTTTGCGTCGAAAAACACGTTCATCATGAAGACCCACAAGTGAACCGTCGGACCTCCACGCTGACTCGGGTCGAAACAGGGCGGGCGCTTCAGCTTTAGTGGCATTGGTGCCATGATGGCTTGGTCGCCACTTGTCGCCGCGAACTCCACGTGCCGATGGGCTTCACGAGGCTCTCGCGGGCTTGGCGCGACCTTGTTTCTCCCCATGCTCGGCATCGGTTGGGTGGCGCCATCACTGGCTGCGCCTGAGCGCTGTCCCATGCTGTCGTTTTGTGTCGGTGTGCCTGATGAAATGACGACCGGCTCCTCCGATTGTGCAGGTGCATTTGCAGATGCGTGTGGTGGCGCCGGAGTATTCACCGTCGATTGCTGACGCGCGGAGTCACGTTCCGCCGTAAGCGTCTCAATTTTGAGCGCCGATTCTTCAACTTGGTGTACCAGACGGTCGAGTTGCTCCTTCGTCAATGTTGTGAGCGTGAATTCGGCCATGGCGGAGGTGTCGGGCAGGCTCAGCGAGAGCCTCTGTCGTGGCCATGCGTGCTTACGAGAGAGCACTACGAGCGGCGGTGCTGTGTCGATGAGAGACGTCCACCCCCCAAAAAATTGAGATAGTGAGGAAGCGAAGGTGTGGATGCGGTTTGAGAAGAGATCGTAGGCTCTGAATATCAGGTGTTACGATTGCAATTGAGTGATCAAGCGAGAATTGCACTATCGAAGCAAGAGTACAATGAGCGAAGGCATGAGCGAAGAATATATAGCGAAACTATAGTGGTAACGGTAATGCATGGAAGATGGGGTGCGCGACGGGCCTGGCGCCGAGGTTGGGAATGGTCGAGGCGGAGGTCCGGAGCGAGGGTTACCAACCGAACCGTGAGGTTGGGTCGCGTCGTGAACAGTGGCGGGAACAGTGTCGAGGCGAGTGTCGCGAGTGGTAATGGATTACTGTTGGGTGCTGTTGGCGGGAACAGTGGTGTACGCGCTGAGCAGGGACGCGGAGTAAGAAGAAAGTATTTTTTCTTACAATATGCAAATCAGCTAAACCCGTCTTGATTGATTTCCTCCACACACATAATTTTGGCTCCATATACACTACTTCCTATGGCTGGTTGAGTCCTGCACCAAGTTCTTCATTGTATCTATGCTCAGCCCCGCTCAGCCATGCCACACGAGGCAACACAACACAAGTGAAAGGCACCATGCCATGCATCCTCCTCCATCACCTTTCAGAATCCAATGACATGGAGTGAGTGGTAACTTCTCCAATGTCTCCTGGGTCTCCTCTTCTGCATCCCCTGCCCCCCATGGTCTCCCACATTTAATCTCAGCCCCATGCAGCCATTCACGCCAGGCCTTACAAGCGGAAAACGCCACACCCCTCCCTCCTCGACTACCTCTCAGAATTCCTCACTTCTCCAGTGTTTCCAGTGCCTCCCCGGTCTCCTTCTCTACTGCACCATGTTCACCCACCCCAACGCTCAGCACTGCACATGCATACACGTCAGGCCACACATGAGAAAACCACAACCCTGCCTCCGCACCTCCACTACCTCTTAGAATCCCTAATTTATCCAGTGTTTCCTGGGCCTCCTGGTCCTCCAGAGTCTCCTGCTCTACTGCACTGTGTGTTCTCCCAACCCAACGCTCAGCCCCATACAGCCCCGCACGGCATACACGTCAGGCCACACATGCGACAGACACCCTGCCTCCTCCCCCTCACTACTTCTCAGAATCTTTCACTTCTCCCACACCAACGCTCAGCCCCGCACAGCCGTACACGTCAGGCCACACGTGAGACGACGCCTTGCCACCCCCACCCCCACCCCCACCCCCACCCCCACCCCCACAACCCCCTCCACCTCCTCCTCCGCCCCCCCCTCGTGCCCGCTGCACCACAGACGGCACCCTTCCAAACAGCCTCTTTCCTCCCCCAAGCAGCTGACCACTCCACGCCTGCCACCTGTGCCCTGGCACTGCCCTCCCACCCGCACCCCTCACTCTCTGCTTACACACACCCCCCACCTCTGCACCCACCTCCATCTCCTTGCACTCCCCTGCCAACCTCCCATCCGCCCTCTGTTTTTCCACCCCAACTGGCCCTGAAAAGGTGAACATCTTCTCCAAATCTTCATCTTCATCATCATCAGAGCTCTCACCATCCAGTGAGGTCACACCCACGCACGTGCTCTCCTCATTTCCCCTGTTGAATCCGCCCTCGGCCTTGCCTGCTGCCCCCTCCTCCTCCTGCGGCTGCCCCTCCTTCCCTGTCGTGCCTGGCTGGATCGCCTCCAGCTCCCCTATAAGCTGACTCAGTATTGCCCGGCGTGCTTGTGCGGCCACTGCGTGTTGACTGGTGGACGCCACACCTATTGCTTCAGTTAAAGCCCTGTGGTGGGCTGAACCCGGGGGTAGCTCAACATTGCCCGCTGTGACTGCTGTGGCGGATACTGATGCAGCTTGTAACGAGGATAGCAGGTGAGTGAGAGGGAGATCTTGTTTTTTCAGGCCTGCCGTTGCGAGCGATTTGCACTGGCAGGTCTTGCCAGGGCACAGCCTGGCACTGCTATTGCAGTTATTGCAGTTGATGCAGGAGCAGCAGTGGCTGCTCAGTGTTCTTTTATTGGAGCCGTGCAGCATCTCAGCCTGGAGTGGGGCGGTTTGGGGAAACACCAGGTTATGACTGAAAGCAGTGTGACTGTAAGCAGTGTGACTGCATATGGCCTCACGGTAAGGCCAGCAGGGATTCCTGGAAGAGTAACCGTCCTCTTTACAAGCAACCCCGCCTTCTCCCTGTTCATCCAACTCCGTCCCCTCTTGTTGCATCCCCTTCCCCTCCTCCTGTCGCTCCCTCTTCTCCCCATCGAGTTCGCCTGTACACTTCTGCTGCTGCTCCTCTTCTCTCTGCCCCGGTCTCCCTCCCTTTCGTCGCCAAACGCTGCTGATGCTCATAGACAGAACCAGCAGAGGAAACCGAGTGTTTACCCATTCCCCCTCACCACGTCCTACACTCCTAAACGTGGGTGACTTCAAACTTTGCCAAGCTTTTGACCCCTGGAAAGAGAGGGTTCTTCCTGCTTCTACTCTCAACCCCCCTCCCATGCTTGGGCGTTTCCCCAGCTCCCTCCGCGCCTCCTGCCCCCCATCTCCGCCTCTTTCCGCCACTCCTCGCGCGCGCTTCTTTTTCCCTCCGTATTCCCCCACGTCTTCTCCTCCCGCTTTCGCTTCTCCTGTTTCCGCCTCCCCCGCTTCCGGTTCCCGCAGCGCCGTGTCTTTGAGTCGCATTTTCTCCAGCTCGTCTATCAGCTGCGACAGCGTGCAACGTCGCGTGCGACCAGTTTGCGATCTAGAACCCAAAGAACGCTCCGTCGCAGGATCGCGAGCATCGTGGCTGTTACTGCGACAGGGAGAGCGGAGCGAGGGAGAAGACTCGCCTTCGCTGCGCGACTCTCCTTCTGCGCTGCAGCCACTGCCGCTGCCGCTGCCGCTGCCGTTGCTGCCGCTGCCGCTGCCGCCGAGGCCGCGGTATACATCGTCAAGTATGCTGCTGTTACTAGTACTAGTAGTATTAGTATGAGTATTACTACTAGTACTAGTATTAGTATCGGTGAAACTACTTCCTCCCAGCCAATCACGACTTCCCGGTCCGCCAATCTCTCCGCCGTCGATTGCCGAGGGATGCGGAGCAGCAGCGGGACAGAGAACGCTGAACTGCCGCGCCAATTCCGCAGCTGGGGAAGGCGCAAGGATCATCGGCGGAAGGGAAGGGGAGTTGGGAAACGCGGAGGTGGGTCGGCGGTGGTTGACCGGGCGCACGCTGGCTCCGCGGAGAATCGGCGGAGCGGCTGGTTTTGCGCTTGAGCCCGTTGCGGAAGCGCTGGTGCAAGGAAAAGCGGAAGGCTTTGCGCGCATGGGGGGCAGAGGGAGGGACGCAAGGGCGGCGGAAGAGGGGTGGAGAGACGAGATGGTGGGAGTGGGGGACGGGCCCGTCCCGTCGGATGCCGCTTCCTTTGCCTGCGGCGGCGGCTCTACCACGTCTGCTACTGCCGCCGCTGCTGCTGCTACTGCCGCTGCTGGTGCTCCTGCTTCCCCTCCGCTCAGCCCCACACACTCCCCATCCGCTCCCACTTCCCCTCCGCTCGGCCTCACACAGTCTCCTTCCGCTTCCGCTTTCCCTCCGCTCAACCCCATGCTGCCCTCCTCCACGCCCGCTTCCCCTGCGCTCAGCCCAACGCATTTCCCTTCCGCACCCGCTTCCCCTGCGCTCAGCCCCACGCACTCCCTTTCCGCACCCGCTTCCCCTGCGCTCAGCCCCACGCACTCCCTTTCCGCACCCGCTTCCCCTGCGCTCAGCCCCACGCACTCCCTTTCCGCGCCCGCTTCCCCTCCGCTCATCTCCATGCTGCCTTCCGCTGCCGAACCTGCAGACAGCTCTTGCTCCCCTCCCGCGCCCTCCCTCTGCACCCGTACCTCCTGTTCAGGTTCGGCGAGGGCTGGTTCGGCGAGGGTTGGTTTGGAGATGGCTGTTTCGGCGAGGGCTGGTTCGGCAAGGGCTGGTTCGGCAAGGGCTGGTTCGGCAAGGGCTGGTTCGGCAGGGGGCACTTCTGCCTGAACTGACTGCGGCAGCTCCGGTTCCTTCTGCAAGGGCTCCGTCCGAAGATCGTCTTCCTTGGTTGAGAGCACGTGGACATGTAACACTGTAGCACGGTCGTGTAACACTGTAGCACGGTCGTGTAACACTGTAGCACGGTCGTGTAACACTGTAGCATCGTCTTGTAACACTGCAGCACCGTCTTGTAACACTGTGGCACCGGCTTGTGCAAGTGTGGCACCGTCATTATCAGGTGCTGACTCTCTACCAGAAGCATTACCGTCCCTATCACCTGCTGCCGCAATTGCCGATTCATCGACAGGCGCAGCGTTATCCTCACTCGCACCTGCTGCTGTAACGGTCATCTCATCGACTTGAGGTCCCTCGAACCCTGATTCGCTAGTGTCTGCTGCGAAATTGCTGACAGCCGCAACATTATCTTCATCGCCTTGAGCCCCGTAAAACCGCGATTCGTTAACGTTTGCTGCGGAATTGCTAACGTCCGCAGCATTACCGTCAACGGCACCTGCTGCTGTAACGGTCGACTCATCGACAGCCACAGCATTATCTTCTCTAGCACCTGCTGCCGCAACGGTCGATTCACCTACTCGCGAAGCCATCGCTACCGATCCCTCCGCCTCCTGAGGCCCCTCAAACCCTGATTCGCTAGTGTTTGCTGCGGTAACAGCTCCTGCTGCCGCTACGGTCAACGCATCGACTCGCGCATCCGACGCTGACGTTTCCCCCATGAGTGCTCAGAACAAGTTCACCCGCGCGCTTCCCGCTTCTCTCAGAATGCTCCCGCTTTGATTTTCTGCGGCTCTGTGCACTGTTCGCCGAACTCGAAGCGCTTCGCAACACAGTCTGCAGCTGAGGGCAGGTTGCGAGGGAGAGTCACAAATGCTGCATTCACAATGCCGGCATTTCCTAAGTCACCTTGTTAGCCTCTGCGGCACATTTGGGAACGTCCCAGCTATGATGCTACAACAACCTGTCACTTCGCGTGGTGCTATGCTGCAACGAGTTGAGCATTTCCCCCCAGCTCTGCTGTAGTCACGCTAGATTCATGGGTGCATGCTGCAATACACACTGCCTGCATAGCATACCTGACGGATGGATGATGCAACGCAACGCAATGCATGGTAGGAAGAAAGCAATGGATGAACATCAAAACGGAATGGGAATGTGTGACGCGATGCTGTGTCTGTTGGGATGTGATTTGAAGTGGCTGGTCTGGAGAGGAGAGGAGGGAGGGAGTGTAGGGAAACTAATGCTGGAAAGAAAATCTATTTTGTGAGCCAAATGGCGCGACGCGCGAAAGTCGTGGCCGAATCGGGCCCCTCGTGCGCACGGAATTGCCGTGCCGTTGTGATTCTTGAACAGGTCACTGACATTGTGCTTCAAAATGATTGTATGAAATAAAGAGTATTGTGCACTGACCAATGGCATGTAACTAACTCCTCCATTGAGCTTATGCTCAGCATAGTTTACTAAGGTGAGGTAATACCGGAACTGAAAAAGGTTGTTCAGGTGCTACAAGAATGTACATTCATTTTGCTCATACAAAGCTGGAAACGGTAAATCCGCATGCAATGGTCCCTACTCAGCACAGAAGCAGGAGCTATTCCACTGGTGGCACAACCCATCTATCCACACCATGCACTTTGAGAAACACCCCGTTGTGCAGGTTGGGAATTTTCACCACTGCCCAAGTAAACAGCTTCGTGTCCGGCTGACCAAGCGCCACACTGAACCTAGTATTGAACTTGGTCAGGTTTGCACCTTCCAACAATGTTGGAATCTGGGCGTTACGCGGCAGCTGGCGCAGCTGACGGAGAGTGTACAAGCCACTGATGATGTTGTATGTGATTGTACGCACCCATTCAGTTCCGTTGTCCCAAACTCGCAGCAGGGTGTCGATTAATGCCTGGTTGGATGGAAGTAGTATGGTTGTGTTCTGGATAACGGTGTAGTTGGTATTGGGATCCTCAACTAGAGGGATAGGGGGAACACAAGAGAAAGGAAAAGGTGGGAGGGAAGGCACAGGGAATGAATGCGCAGATAAAGAATAGACAGCTAACACGGGAGGGACGGGAGATAAAGGAAAGCGGGTGAACAAGCGTTTGACGAGGTATGAGTCCACAAGGGAAAATCAAACCTTCGGGAGGCCCTCTAATCTGGAAAGGGAAATATAAGGGGGGGGGAAATGACGAGGGGGACGAACAAGAGACTATGTGCAGAAGGGAACAGATTTCAAAAGCACATCTGAAGAGCGTGGCATGTGCAGCAGTGACACGGCATAGCATGCTCACAAGCCAAGTCACATCTGGTGAAGTCACATCAGGTAAGATCACATCAGGTGAGAAGTCACACTCCTTGATCACCTCGCCATCATGCAAGACGTCGTCAAGGAACGGTCACATCAGGCCACACGGAATCAAAGGGTGTGTGTAAATGTGAGTTTAGGGCCAAGACCCTCACTCGCCCGTTCAAGGAACCTTGCGGCGACGGAGTAGCGAGGCCTGGCAGCAGCAGCGAGTTGAAGGCCAGCGACCTCCACCCGCATCTGCTCGTTCGTGGGGGATGCCGCGTCTGCCTGCTGGACAGCTCCGAGCGATAGAAGCAGGATCAGCAGAAGCAGCAGTAGCTGAGGAAGAAGAAGGAGAAGCGAGGGAGAACGAAACGGACGAGGAGGATGAGAATAGAGATCCATGCTTGGGATCAACTGCACGCTTTATTTCTTGCTTTGGTATTTTGCTTGTTGAAGGTGTTTGGGGCGACAGAATTAGTGATTCTTGAAACGTGCTTCTCGAGAATACACAAAGCGGTCGGAACGCGGCTTATGAAAAAGACGGACTAACCGAACCCTCCAAGCGCTCGGCGCCCTCAAGAACGAACCCTCGAGTCGCGGGAGGGACTTTCTGGTGAAAGCTCGAAGGCTTCCGCGCTCACCTCCCCTCTTCCGCATCGCGGCGATTTCGAGAGGGCCCTCCTGGGAAAATCCCTAGTAGCGCCAAGCCCTCATGCCGTGCCACCCCGCATCGCTACCCTCCGAGGGTAGTCGCACGCACGCACTGTGCAGTAGTCCTAGTCGCAGCCGCCATGACGGTGGACGGTTGCTGTTTTGTCGTATCTGGAAGGTTTTCTGTCGTTGCGTGGCCGACTACGTCGCCTTCACTACGCCGCCCCGTTCTCCTCCTATTGGTTGAGCTCATAACCTTGCTGAAATCGTCTAATCTCGCTCATCCGTTGTCGGAGGAGTCGCTTGATTAGGGTAGGCTTGAGTTTTCTTATCTCAGCCTTCCCTGGTCAATTGTCGTTGGTGTTGTCGCTTACGACGGGTTACCTTTTTCAGTTGTCGCCTGTCGCCGCCACGTCTAGTACCTGCCGACCACTCGTGCGTGGAGTGCAGCAACACTGGCACTCGTGTGGTGTTATAACGGGTATCCGCAGTGGCTCGGCAAGAGTGGCTTTTGTTTGTAGGTCGTGTTCAGGTATCACACCAGATCAAATTATTTCTTACAACTTCTTATGTATAAGCGAAAAGTACGGTACTACTTCAAGCATAACAAACTGGCACGCATTTACAGCTAAGGCAAGCAGCTTCACCACAGCATTGCAGAGCTCGCCTGATTATTCAAGAGGTTGCAAAAATTCACAAGCAGCGATATTGTACACCCCTGATAAAAACACCAGGCGGCTCGGCTCACCCGACCATGTTTATTCCTGAAAAAAAGCAACATTGAAGGCAACATCCAAGTGAGTGCATGCCAAAAAAAAATACAGTATTTCTCTCGCTTCCCTCCCCATGCACTCACTCTCTCTTCCGTGAGAGGGACCATGTTTATCCCTGAAAAAAAGCAACATTGAAGGCAACATCCAAGTGAGAGAAGGTTTATAGTGTTCCAATCCGCTGCCAAGAAGTACATTTGAGACTGTAAAGAGGATATGCTCTTACTGGTGCGGATTTGATTGCCTTGCTGAAGATGAAGCCTGGCCGTGTGCTGTTACGTATGGCCCGCCAGTATGCGAGAAGGATGACGACCGGCCGCACTGGTGAGGAGTAGAGGCAAACGGAAGAGAGAGAGAGAAGCAGAGAGAGGACAAGTTAGAAAGGGTTCATGAAAGGACAAGGGTTATGGCCCAACAGTGACAGAGAGGGCCTGGTGCTTGAATGGCCTGGTAAAACATTGGTGGGCATGGCAATGCGTGGATCTGTGAGGTGAAGTGATAGAGAGTGGGTAGGAAACCGGAGGGCAGCAGCAGGTTCGGGGGGAGGGTTGTTGACTTACGTCGAATCTTCCGAATGCTCTTCAGAACGCTCTGCGGTTTCCTCTTGTTGCTGCTTCCCTTCTCGCCCTCCTGCTTGCTTATTGTCGTTGCTGCTGCTGCTGCTGCTGCTGGACGTCCTGTTGTTGCTGTTGCCCCGGTCGCCCCTGTCTTATCCGAGCGAGTCCTCCTCGTGTCAAACTCGGTGCGAGTGAACATGGAAGCAGGCACCGACACCACCTTGCTCCATCTCGCCTTCACACTCCTCTTTCGACCCCCTTCCCCCGCCTCTCCCCCATCTCCCCTCCCTCCTCTCCTCCCACCCTCCTCCCCTTCATTCCCCTCTCCCTCCTCCAGCCTTCCCAAAGGCCTACACATCTTGTATTCCCCTCCACACTTCCCACACCCCCCTGCGCCCTCCTCCCCCCCGCACCTATTCCCGCCCGCCTCCCCCCCTCCCCTTGACCCCCCCGCGCCCCCCCTGCTGAGCCTATGCACGGGGGAGTAGACAGGGCGCCGGTTCCCCCCCACCACGCGGATTTTCCGCAGGGGCCACCCAGGGGAGGGCGGGGGGAAGGAGGGGGAGCAGAGGAAGCGCAGGGCAGCGTCAGGGGATGGCGGGGGGAAGGCGGAGAGCAGGTGGTGCGCGCTGAGCGCGGGGGAGGGGAAGGACGTGGAGGGACTGGGCGGGGGGAAGGCGGAGTGGGCAGAGAGGGCGGAGAGGGCGCTGTGGGTGGTGATGGCGCGGTGGAGGGAAGGGGGGATAGAGGGGGCTGTAGCAGCGGATGTAGCAGCAGTTGTAGCAGGGGCTGCAGCAGCAGCAGTTGTAGCAGTGGCTGTGGCAGCGGCTGTAGTAGAGACTGTAGCACCAGCTGTAGCAGCGGTTGTAGCAGAAGTGGGGCGAACAGGGATGTACTTGGGCGGGAGCAGCTTCTTGCTCCCTGCTGCTGCCGCTGAGCTGCTGTTGCTGTTGCTGCTGCTGCTGCTGCGTGCCCTGCTGCTGCTGATCTCCCTTACGCTGATTGCTTTCACACTCAGTGATCTTACCGTGCTCTGTGATTTAGCCGTGCTGTTGCCGCCTGCAGAAACGCTGCTCCCGATACTGGTGATGCTGGTGCTCCTGCTGCTGCTCGCGACTCTACCGTTTATCTCCTTTATGCTGACTGCTTTCATGCTCGGAGATTTCGTCGTGCTCAGTGACTTTACCGGTGATCTTGCTGTGCTGCTGCCCGCCCCACAAACGCTGCTGCTACCGCCGACGCTGCTGCTGATGCTGGTGATGCTGATGCTCCTGCAGCTGCTGCTCTTCGTTCCTCTCTCTTTCATCCCACTGCTCTTTGCCTCACCACCGCCTTGCACGCTGCCAACAGCACTTGGCCTCCTCCTGCTGATGCTGCTGCCCTCGGTCTTGCCACACCCGTTAGTGGCACCACTCCCTGACTCGCTATACACGTCCTCCTCGCTATAGACCGTTTCGCTGCAGCTAGTAGTGCAGTACTGGTCACACGAACGAGCAGCAACTGCTGCTCTGACGCCGTCTCTGCTGCTCAGAGCTTCAACTCTGCTTCCCCCTTTACACTTCCCCTGCTTTGTACTCGTTATTGCGCCCTCAGATCCGTTTATTGTGTCCTCGAGGCTCTTTATGCCCACGGGCGCGTTATTTGCTATAGACCCCTTGGTCCCACCAATTACGCCCTTACTGGTCCTGCTGTTGCTGTTGTTTTTCGTCATTACTCCTTGGCTGCTCCTGCTGTTTCTACTGGTGCTGCTCCCTCCCAGTTTTGTATAGGCACTGCTGGTGCTGCTGCTCCCTCCCAGTTTTGTATAAGTGCTGCTGCAGTGGTTGATGATCAACGGGCTGCTGCTGCCGCTTATTGCCGGACTGCCACATGTCTGCTTCTGATTTGGGCTACTAACGCCACGTGTCTGCTTTTGATTTGGGCTGCTAACGCCGCCACGTGTCTGCTTTCCAGTGGGAGATGACGTCAGAGATCCGTTGCTCCGCCTCTGTTGCTGCCCTTCGTTCTCCGCCTCCTTCCCCTTCTGCTGCTTCTGCTGCTGCTGCTGCTGCTGCTGCTGCTGCTGCTGCTGCTGCTGCTGCTGATGCTGCTGCTGCTCTCCGCCCTCCGCATTTTCCTTTTCCACTGACAGCTGCCAGTCAGCAACACAAACACCACAGGTTGCAGCAGTCCCACAGGTTGCCGAGGCAGTGGCAGCGGCAGCGGCGGCGGTAGCGGTGGCGGTAGCGATGGCGGTAGCGGTGGCGGTAGCATTAGCAGCAGTAGCACCTAGAGAAACGCCACCGTTCTGCACCCTTCCACACTCACTCCCCTCACTCTCACTCCCATCCGAATCCTCTCCTCTCACGCGCTGCCTCTTCCTCACTCTCCTCTTCTCCCCGCCCCTTCCTTTCCCACTGCTGCTCTTTTCCTTCTCTCCTTCCACTCCTGCTCTTCCTTCACCAAATCCCCTTCTTCCCACTACCCTACTTGCTACTATCCGTCCTCCTACCCTCCTCCTCTCCCTCCCTCCCCTTCTCTCACTCCCCTGGTTCTCGGCCTTACCGAACCGAAACACTGCCACGTCAGCAGCGGCCGGCAGGGAGAAGGGCTTGGTGGGTGACGTCACTGTGGTGAAGAGATGGAATGGCTGGGCGGCAGAAGTGGTGGAAGGCTGGGCGGCAGCTGCTCGGTTTGACGCCTTGGAGTGCGTTGACTGGATTGATTTTGGGGATCTGTCTGACTTGTTTGACCCCGCGTGTGAGGTTCGTGAGTTTGCTGATCGCCTTGATCCCATTGACTGCTTTGACTTGACCGAGTGCTTGGATTCCGTTGACCTGATTGACTTGGCTGAATGCTTGGATCCACTTGACCGGCAAGAGGCGTCGGAGTGGTGTGGGGAAGGGAGGGGCGACGGGAAGGGCGAAAGCACAGCTGCTTCCGCGCCTCCCTCCTCCACTTCCATCTCCCCTTCCTCCCTCCCGCGCTCCTCTTCCTCGTCTTCCTCCTCTTGCTTCTCCTCTCCCCTCCCCTTCATCTCCACCCCATCAGCCCCATTGGTTTCATCGGCCAACTCTCCTCCCGCCTTCTCGCTTCCCCCCATACTCCGCGGGTTGCTGATCATCTCGATCTCCTCCACGTCACTCTGCTCCTCTTCCACGTCACTCTGCCCCTCCACCTCACTCTCATCCGCTTCTGCGTCGCTCTCCTCCACGTCACTCTGCTCCCCATCCATGTCACTTCCGTCCTCCTCCACGTCACTCCCGTCCTCATCCACGTCACTCTCGTCGTCATCCACGTCACTTTCGTCCACACTCTCCTCTACACCAACCGTCACCACCTCACACGGCGGAGCGGCGAGCGCAATTCCGCTGCTCAGCGCGCTTCCTCGCGGGCTGATCATCTCGATTTCTTCCGCCTCACTCTCCCCGTCGTCCTCCGCTTCCCCCTCCGCCTCCACTTCCTCCTCCACCTCCGCCCCGCTCTCCGCCTCCACTTCCGCCTCCACCTCCGCCCCGCTCTCCGCCTCCAATTCCGCCTCGCCCTCCGCCTCGCTCTCCCCCAGCGCTATCGCAAAGGGATTTACACCGCCGCCGCCCGCAACCTGCGCGGCATCTCGTTCCGCCGCCTCCCGCTGCCGCTCCCGCGCGCGTTCGGCCAGGCTCTCCTCGAGCAGCGCAATCCATTCCGCGTCCTCCTCCTCCGCAAGATGAGCCCGCTCGGGAGAACGAATTCGCTCCGGAGAACGAACTCGCTCCTGAGGCGCATCAAAGACACATTCCGGGTCCTTCTCTTTCGAAAAATGATTTTCTCCGTTTTCCTGCTTATTATCCGCTTCTCCCGCTTCCTCTCTCCCAGAAGTGGCCGCAGCCTCGATGCGCACCTCCTGCTGCTGCAGCGCCGCTGCTTCCGCCGCGCTTCCCGAGGCGTCTGCATCATCTTCGCACGGCGCTTCCGCTTCCGCTTCCGCTTCCGCTTCCGCTTCCGCTTCCGCCTCCGTTTCCGCCTCCGTTTCCGCTTCCGCTTCCGCCTCCGCCTCCGCTTCCGCTTCCGCTCCCGCTCCATCGACCAGTACCGTATCCTCCTCTGGGTCACCCCCCTTCCACTCCCCCGCCTCATCCTCCGCAATTCCCGCCGCCCCGTCCTCCTCTTCCTCTTCCTCTTCTTCCTCTTCTTCTTCCTCCTCCTCTTCCGCCTTCTCCGCCTCTTCCTGCAGCGCAATCAAATCGATTTCCAGCTCAAGAAACGTATCGTTACACTCGCTACCCTCACCTTCAGTTTCTCCACCAACGTCCAAAGTCGAACCCCGCTCACCCCTCTCCGTCTCCCGCCTTTCTCCCTCCCCTTTCTCTCCACAATCTTCTCTAAGAAACTCCACATCTGCTTCTCCTTCACGGTCTCCTTTCCCCATCCTTTCCTCCCCTCTTCCTGCTCCTCTTTCTTCTCCCCAGTTCTCCTCAGCTTCCGCCTCTCCCGCTTCCCCGTCGCTTGAACCAAAAATCAGCGCATCATCCAGCTCCCGCCGGATATCCGCCTCCTCTTCCGCCGCCATTCCCGCCAGGCACGCGTGCAGCTCCTCCTCCACGTCATCACCGCATGATTCGCTAGTAGTCACCTTGGTAAGATTACGATGTTCGTGTGTTGCTCCCGCTTTCGATTCCGCCTCGTCCGCCGTTCCCGCGCCTTGGGCGTTCAGGCGTTGCGCCACGTTTTCCGCCCCCGCGCTGCCTTCCGCCACTGCGCTGTTTTCCGCCATCGCGCTGCCTTCCGCCACTCCCGATCGCGTCAGCTCCGCGTCGTGTCCCTCCGTTGCTTTTCCACTCCTGCTTTCCGCCTCCGCGCAAGTCCTTTCCGCCGGTGCGGACTCCGCAGCCGACGCCAGCGGGGACGCCAGCAAGCCGCTAGGTCCCTTCGCTAAGGTGGGTTCGGACGCCACGTCAGCATGCGCCTCGGCTGCCGCCTCGTCGGCATGCTGCACTCGCCGTTCGTTTTCCGCAACGCTGTTGCGCTGTTTCTTTCCCGCGGACTTCTTACCCGCCTTCTTCCCCCGAGCCTTCCGTGCATTCTTCCGCGTGCGCTTGGTCGGAGCATCAGCAGCGACCGCAGCAGAAACGGCTCCCGGCACGCTCGAGTCTTCCATTCGGGAGCCATCAGCACAATCAGCAGGTTCGGTACAGTCAACGCAGTCAACGGAGTCATCGAGGAATCGACGGAGCCGCGTCTCCTTTGTCTCCGTGTCGGTCTCGGCGTCTCGTTCCGCAATTGTTACCTCCGCCGTTTCTTCCGCTGCGCCCTCCGCCGCCAGCTCCCCCTCCTCCCGCGCACTCACCGGTCCTTCCGCATCCGACTCCTCCTCGTCCGCCAAAACCAGTCTAAGCCTTTGATCCTCTATCTCCTTACGCTGAACCGCTTTACCGTTGTTCTCCTCTACCATAGATGGTTCTAGCTTGTGTTGAAGCATAACTACTTCATCTTCGCAATCGAAGTAACCGCCTGTACGAAGCGTTTTCGGGAAAGATTCGCCTTCCCCGAAAAAAATCTCTTCCCTAATTTCAGTCGATTTCACAGCTGCCCCAGCCGCCGCTTCCCCCGAAGTTCCTCTCCCCGCGCCTGCCCGTCCAGTCAGTTTCGGCTTTTCCGCAGAGGCTCCCTCTCTGCCGCGCGCGACATTGGGCGGCGGATTTCGCGCATCCGCGTTCGACGGCAGCGAGCCGAGGTCAAGAGATGGAATGGCGTTGCGCGGAAACGGCGACGGCCGCGCAGACGACGAGAGGCTCGAAGCGGGGGAGTATGCGGCGAACCCGAGTTCCTCGCGCTCTCGGGTTACAAATTCCCCGTCGATCCTCCGTTCCCGTTTCCCCGGGATTCCCGCCAGGCTATCCGCCTGGACTTGCGCCGTGGCATACGCCATGGAAGCCGACACGAGCATCTCAGGAACGTTGTGGACGCGGCGCGAGGCGGACCGCGGGGAGAAGAAGGTTCGGCGAAAGCCGAGGAGTTTGGGCGCGGAGCCATCGGGATGCGCGGAGGGGGACTTGGGGACAGGTTTGGATTTAGATGCGCCGAAAGGGTTGAATCGCGGCGTGTGAGGACTGGACGGTCGGGATCGTACGGATGGTACGGATGTGCGTCTGTCTGTTTTTCCCGCCTCGACGGATACAAAGTGCGACATAGTTTTCACCTGGTTTCCCCGCTCGCGAGAGGTACTATGACCGGGGAATTTCGATGGATTCAGGCGGCCATTGGTGCAAGGCGACGGAAGCTATGAAAGCTACGGAAGCTATTGAACAGCGGAGTAGCAGTTCCTTTGACTTACTGATGTGAATTACACAGGGAAAGGACGAGGGGGGTGATGAACCTCAGCTATAGCAAGGTTGACTGATGATACCCACTGGAGCGTGTCGAGAAGACGCTGCGAATGCATGGAATGGAGGGAAAAGGCTGCTGCAGATGCGTGGAGGGAAAAGGCTACGATGGAATAGGGGCAAAATTCCTGTTGTGAAATGTCGCACGAATGGAGGAAGAACGGCGATGGGGTGAGAGTATGGTCTCGGTGCCTTGACTACCATCGTCCCCGGTGGGCGCATGCTGGATGGATTCGTGTGAGGCAGAGTGACGAATTGCTATCGCGCCGCATGTTGGGCGAATGTAGGGCGACTCGAAGTTGTGGAGGCTCAGGGGAGAGTGGCGTGTGCTTGTTTTGAGTCTTCGACATGGCACGTTCGGGGGAGGAGTGAAGGCGCTGCGACGCGTGAGACGAGGGGGAGAACGTGGGTTTGCCCTTGGCGGGAATTTCCGCCTGCGCCAAAGACTCGCACGACTGACTCGAGAATTTTGTAGCCCTCGCACGACTGGGCAGGCATATCCCCTGATTGACTGCTCCGCAAGCAGGAACAGAACTGGTATACATGCGAGTCAGATATATATTTTGTATCTCATGTACTTTAGATATGTCATGGCGAATCATAAGCGCATAGCCCACCATGTATCGTGTTTCCTCTGAGAAATAAATATAATATAAAGATATTTTTCCCTCAAATCTGAGTGCAACCTAACACTCCATTTCTAGTCCTCTCACTCCGTTGCAATCCTAGAAAAATCATAACTTCTGGTGGACTTGTGAACCGTGAGCCTTAGCGGAGCAAGCTACAGCTGCCAATTTGGAAAATCCCAAGGGAGCTCCAACCAGAGTCAAGCAAACCTGCTACACCCGCTCACATTCTAGCTGCACCGACAATTGGCTTGGCTGGCGCACTGTTGAGCCGAGGCGAGAACCACCCACCCAGCCCAAGACTACTTCCTTCTATTTGGTGTCTGGCAGAGGGTGGCATTTTCATCCCAACCCAATCCCAAAAATGCTCCCAAGCCGCCTAGCGGTCTGGCCCGGCGACCGTAAAGCACAGGTGGCGCGTACTCCCATCAGGCGGCGTTTCTATTCCCAGCGGCTCAATTCAATGCCTCCCGGTCGGGCGAAATCATGGAGCTGTTCTCGAAAGCGTGCTTCCGTGTTCGCCGTGCTCCCAGCAGCGCAGGTGGCGCTCGTGGTGGCCGCGCTGTTGAGTCATTCCGGAGCATGGATTGTGGTCGCGAGGGGTCAGACCATTGCTCCATCTCAAGGCACGTTCGCTTCGCCGCTCTCCGTGCTCCGCCGCGTTTCACGAATCCTGTCAGCGGATGACGCTTTAGTTACACGTTTTCGAGTTGACTTTGCGTCGACTCAAAAGCCGTTTCGTCGCGCCCTCCGTGCTCCATCGTTCGGGAATTCTGTCAGTGAATGATGCTTTTGATTCAAGGCTTTCACAACATTCGTCACCGAATGTTGTTTTCAAGTTCCTGCTTTCACACATTTTGCTTGCCAGTATCGATTTTGGTTTCCGGGGTCGTGAAAGGAAGCACTTTTTCTCTTACCCCTCGTTCCCACTCCCAATGCCTGACTGCCAGTGAACCACATTGAACCACAATAGCGTCAATTTCCACTTCAAAGCCGTTCTCTTTTCCTCTTTCCAGTTCCCGGATTGCTGGCCTGTCAAGCCGCGTGGTATGTTACATTCAGTCAGCGGCTTTCAATCGGCCCAGTTGTTGTTATTTCTTCCTCTTTCCAGTTCCCGGGTTGCTTGACTGTCAGGCCGCATGGGGAGTCACATTCAACCAATGGCAGGAGGGGGGCGACTGTAGCCAGGCGGATGGCCTCACATGTGACAGTAACGGAATGATCATGAGCATGTGCGTCTCGCCCCTTTTTCCTGCGTTTCCAAGAGTCAGAGTAAGATATCACCCGCTTTTTGTTTGTTTGTTTTTCTGGAATATACGGACATGAATTTACTTTGTTGTTCCACATGTGCTGGCACCGGAGGGGTAATGCAGTCGCCACCTAAATGCATCATGCAACCTTGGGGTGATGTGATGGATTTTCCTCATGCACCATACATGATGCGGTGTCAATGCAGGGCGCTGGATGAGATGGGGCTGTCAGGCTCGCTACCAACATCCCTCGGATCATTTATCAATCTCTCCTACCTGTATGAAATTTTCATCCTAACCTGCCAGCCTGTAGGATCATCTTTCCTGCTCTCCCTTGCTTCGGTACGTTTTCACAATCCCCTTGCAGAGTTCAGATACAGTGTTCTAAACAAATCAGGATGTGCATTTTGTCCTTTCTATTTTAGAGTTTGAAGCTGCCGTTTCTCCTGCTCTGCTTTGCATCTTCTTCCTGTGTATATGCGGCCTTGCCGTGCACCTTCCCTTTGGCCCATGCTGGCTTTTATTGGCATACAACACGCATGCATCCCCCATCATCCCCATCTTTGTATGTGCACGGCACATTCCACCTGCCTGCATGCCACCCCACCCCACCCCACCGCACTGCACCACCCTGTAAGAGCAGTAGTCTGTGGAGCAACTCGCTTACGGGGGAACTGCCTTCCACCATCAGTGCACTGACGGCTCTCAGTGACATGTGAGTTTGTGTGTGGGGGTGTGTGTGAATGTGTGTGAGAGTGAATGTGAGTGTGAATGTGATTGCGAGTGCGTGTGTGTGTGTGAGTGTGTGTGTCTGTGAGTATGTGTGTGTGTGTGTGTGAGAGAGAGAGAGAGAGAGAGAGAGAGAGAGAGAGAGAGAGAGAGTGCGAGAGAGAGGGATTGCCTCGTGTGTACTCAACTGCCTTCCACCATCAGTGCACTGACGGCTGTCAGTGACATGCATGTGAGTGGCTCTCACTACTCTATCCATATCCCCCTCTCTCCCTCTTCCCCTCTCCCCCTCTCCCCCTCTCTCCGCTTCTCCCCACCACTTTGTTCTTGACTTCAATCAACTCACCGGGTCACTGCCTCTCTTGTACCGCGTTACTCTCTTCTTTTCCCCCACTATCCCTCCTCCACACCACAACGTTCTCGGCTTCAACCAGCTCACCGGGTCACTGCCTCACTCTAACCCCTTCACTCTCCCCCACTCCCCTCCTCCCCGTCTCCCATTCTCCCCTTTTCCCCCTCCCCCTCTCTCGCCTCTCCTCCTTCTCCCCATCACAGTGTTCTCGGCTTCAACCAACTCACCGGGTCGCTACCACAAGGCCTCTCCACACCACAGGACTTACTCGGTCACTGCACACGCAGAAGTATTTACTCTCTCCCTTTCCTCGTCTCCCCCTTCTCCCCATCACAGTGTTCTCGGCTTCAACCAACTCACCGGGACGCTACCACAAGGCCTCTCCACACCACAGGGCTTACTCGGTCACTGCACACGCAGAAGTATTTACTCTCTCCCTTTCCTCGTCTCCCCCTTCTCCCCATCACAGTGTTCTCGGCTTCAACCAACTCACCGGGTCGCTACCGCAAGGGCTCTCCACACTTTCTCGTCTCTCCCGGCTGTAAGCATCTCATCATGCTACGTTACATCTAATGCTTTACTTTCTCTCTCTTCCGTCATTCGAGAAGTCCCGAAAGCCCTCTCCAGACTCTCTCGTTTCTCCCTGCTGTAAGCCGCTCTATCCTGCTAGGCTGCTATCCCACAGCTGTTGCTTTATTCTTACTCCTTTATCCTTCTTACTCCCACAGCTAGGCTTTATCCCACAGGGTACTTTCTGTGCTTTATTCTTACCCTAATCGTTCATTCATCCCATGGACCACTTGTAAGGCGTTTGGAAAGGAAAGTACTCTGAAATGTATTCTCACCACTCTCTCGCCTTTCCATGCTGCAAGCACCTCACTCCTGCTACGTTACAGATGCTGCGTTACTCACTCTCACTCCTGTGACACACCCTATTCGTTCATTCATTTTTTAGTTGACTCAAAAATAGGCTCCTGTGACACACCTCCCTCCCCTCCTGCTTTCCCGTTCCTTCCTTTCCGCAGCGCCTCCTGCTTTCCCGTCCTTTACTTTCCGCAGCCCAATGGGCAAATACGATTCGCCAGCCCAATGGGCAAATACGTTTCGCCAGCCCAATGGGCAAATACGTTTCGCCAGCCCAAAGGGCAAATACGTTTCGCCAGCCCAATGGGCAAATACGTTTCGCCAGCCCAAAGGGCAAATACGTTTCGCCAGCCCAATGGGCAAATACGTTTCGCCAGCCCAATGGGCAAATACGTTTCGCCAGCCCAATGGGCAAATACGTTTCGCCAGCCCAATGGGCAAATGCATTTCGCCAGCCCAATGGGCAAATACGTTTCGCCAGCCCAATGGGCAAATATTTTTCGCCAGCTCTCTTTGTTGCTCTCTTGCAGCCTCCTCCTCACCACCTCCCACCCTCTCCACCACCTTCCCCTCTCCTCAAATGGTCCTTTGTATTAATTCAGCAGGGGGTACAGACATGCAATTTGACTCGTGGTTCCCTTATACCTTCCGACCCATCAACCCATCCCTCTGACCCCCCCCCCCCCCCCCCCCCCCCTCAGTGCCCCTTCTAACCCTCCAGCGTGTGGAGGATGTCCCCTAGGTGCAGCGGCCACGGGTCCGCTGCCATCTGGGGGTGCGCTGCCTCAATCCCTGCCCTGGCCTTGTTGTGCAGGGCATTCGCCTGGGAGCGCTGGAGGGCCACTGACCAGCGCTGGCTGAAGTGGCAGGCCATCTTCTTGGCCGATTTGGCCAAGGGGTTGGCCCTGAACCTGTTCCTAGCGGCTGCTGTGGCCAGCAGCTTAAGGAACGCTGTCGTGGGGGGCGCGTTTGCCCCGTATGTCTCGACGGCCAGGGCGCAGAACACCACGTGTTCGGTGTGCCTGCAGTAGTCCCTCTCCTTCCGCCTCTGTGCCTCCCTTGCAGCCCAGCCTGGGGGTTTGCGGGCTGTGGGGTCCCGGTTCTGTAGCACAGGGTCGGTGATAGTCGTGTCTGTGATCCAGGTCTCTCCACTGTCTGGGTCACGCACGATCACATCGGCCTTTTTCGGGTCATCCGGTGGTGAGTACATTGCATTCTCCAGGTATACCACCAGCTGCGCCTCCCTCGCCATTTTTGCCACGGCAAAGGCCAGCTGGTTGTGTGTGCGCGTTCTGTCCGGGCCTGTGCTACAGCGGAGTAGGTGGTTGGGTAGGCTGCAGTCGGCCACGAGCTCTCCACACTCGCACACGGTAGGTACGTTCTGTCGGATGCCCATGCGGAAGGCCAGGGCTGTTCGGAATTGCCCTGGTGAGAAGCAGAGGTCTGGGGTCAGGGGTAGGGCTTGCAGCCATGCTCCCGCTCCCTCGCCTCTCAGGCTGACGAGGCGGAGCGTGTGGCCCATCTCGGGGGCTGACCTGATTGAGCGTGATTCCTCTGTCAGGGTGTCGGCCTTTGCCGCGTGCACTTCCTGAGAGAGGGCCCGCTGCAGCTGGTCTTGGGACGGGGTTTCTTGCTCCTCACGGAGGTATTGCAGCGCCAGCGGCGGCAGACGTCCCTCCATGTTTTGGATGGTGACTGAGTGTGCCGCAGACGGCTGCAGGGCGTTGCTGTTGCTCCCTAGCGCCGCGGTTGCTGGCAGGTCGAGTGAGCGGAGCAGGCGTAATGCCTGTGTCGTTGAGGCCAGGTAGGCTGGTGCGGCTTCTGTTGTGGGATCCGTGAGGCCCAGTCCACCTAGGGCCACTGGGAGGGTTGCTTGGCGGATGAGAAAATTGAACTCGGCTTCGCGGCGGGGTGGTTGGATGCTGGCGGCAGTCAGGGTGGTGTTGAGCAGTTCGGCGCACCACGCGTGCCATTCCGAGAGGGGAAGGACATCCGCTGGGGTGGTGCGCAGCAAGTAGCCGATTCTGCGGCTGATGCAGCGGGACAGGAGCAGGAGGGCATGCTGTGGATGGATGGATGCTAGGGAGCCCAGGGGTGCCACCGCGTCTGTCAGGGTACTGCGGGCCAGGTCAGCGCAGAAGCGCTGTGACCCCACGGGACTTCCCAACACCCGTACCCCCTCGTGGGTGAGTGGGAGGCCCTCGGGGAGCTGGTCACCCTCAAGCGGCGTCGTGGACCACGCCGACGATTTTCTGAGGTTGCAGGTGAGGCCATCCTGGGCGAGCAGCGGCGTCAGTAGCTTAAGCGCGCCGAGCGTTGCTGTCGCCGGTCCGACCATGGTGATGTCATCTGCGTATGCTAGGATCGTGACTTCTGGGTGCTCTGCTGCTGTGCGTCTGAGGTGCTGCTGGATTGATGCCGCGAACAGCAGGGGTCCGAGGGGGTCCCCTTGCCTCACCCCCCTTCCGCTGGTAAGTGCCATCGTGCTCAAGCGGGGATCGGTCAGCAGCTGAGAAGGCGTTGCGTAGAAGGAGCGGGTGAAAGGTATGAGCAGTGCTAGCGGGGTGTTGTTGAGTGCGTTGAAGAACGCTTTCCTCTCTACGGAGTTGAAAGCGTTTTCAATGTCGAGTTGGAGGACTAGGCTGGAAGGTTGTGAAGTGGTGAGGTCTCTGACTGCATGTATAACGAACTCAGCTCCGCCTGGGACTGCCACACCGAATTGTTGGGGTAAGAATAATCGCCTTGTTTCTCCTTGCAGTTCCGAGAGTGCCACCTTTGCTGCCAACCGGAGTAGGGATTCCCCTATTGCGATAGGGCGTACCCCCCCCCCTGGTTTCGCGAAGGCGATGAGGCGGGATGGCGAGAGTAGTGCTGCAACCTCGGTGGAAAGGTTCGTGGAGAGAAGATGTGTTACGGCGGAGTGTAGGTGCCCCAGCACTTCGATGTTGCATAGGGCTGGGTCGCGGTAGTGTTCAAATGTTGACCCGGATGGACCAGCCCCAACTCTGCGGCGGCAGGCGGCGGACGATAGGCAGGTGGGTGGTTGATGTTAGGGTTGAAGAGTCCCAGCTGTTCGCGGTCTCAAAGAGATCCTCCCTCGATGCCAGCTGGGACGCTGACAGGGCTTGGTCTGGAGGGGGTTGGGGTCTGCGGTTCTGTCGGCGTCTAGGATCCCTCTCCTGCTGCTGCGCCTGGTCCTCCCCCGCTTCCGCGAGAGGTGAGTCGGGGTTGTCGGGTTGCCTCAGATCTGACGGTACATATTCGTCGCCGCTCCCTTCTGCGTTTGTATCACCGATTCTCATTGCTTGCGCTGTCGTTCCCCTTCTCCCCCCGCGTCTAGCAAACGACTGGCGCGTGACTCGTTCCGCCGGCTCCCCCAACCAGATTGGGCTCGGTAGTTGGCGCGGATTCCCCCTCGCCGCTTGGCCTGCACTCCTCTGTCCTCCGCGCGCTCCTCGACCCCCGCCTCTCCCCCGCGTGCTTCCCCTCTCCTCCCTCTCTTCTTCTGGCTTCTCCTTCCCTTCCTTTCTGCAGTGCACTCGGCAGTAACCGCTTCGCCGGTTCTCTCCCCGATTGGATTGGCGGCCTGTCCCTCATGGAAACACTGTGAGATGCCAGCCACTTTGGGTACCTTGGGGGCCATGGGAGACCACAGCGAGCATGATTAACTGCCTTCAGATATCGCACCTATAAGAGCAACGAGCCTCAGGATCCAGCTGGCGCCCTTTGTGCAATGCATGATTCCTGAGGCTCCTTCAAAGCAGGCCTCGAGCAGCAGAACATGCCTCTCTGAGGGCTCACTGTAGAAGTATCCCACCTTCTCCTTCTCCCACCTTCTCTTTCATTAGATACTTTCGTGCTCTCCCTCTCCCACCTTTCCATGAACCCTTACATACAGGGACATCGGCAATAATATCTTATCAGCGCTCATCCCTTCTCTTGTGGAATCACTCCCCTCTCCCCTCCCTTGTCCGTTTCCTTCCCCTATCTCCTTCCCATGCAATTCCACAGGGACGTCAGCAGGAATAACTTATCCGGCCTCATCCCTTCCTCGATCGGCAGTCTCCTCAACCTCACCTTCCTGTCAGTCGCTCCCCTCTCTTCTCTTTTTCTTTCATCTCATCCTTTCACTCTCTTCTTTTTAGGCTCCTCAAATCTAACCTTTATTCGCATTCTCCTCAGCCTTACCTTACTGCCTGCCAGTCCCTCTTCTCTTTTAAACTCTCTTCTGTGCAGAAAAACGACCTCTATCCCATCCCATCCTTAGCCTTCTCCGCCCCATTCTTGCTCCTTCTCTCCATCTTGCCCCACTCTATCACGCCCATCACTGCTCTCCCATCTATCCCGCCCATCACTGCTCTCCCATCTATCCCGCCCATCACTGCTCTCCCATCTATCCCGCCCATCACTGCTCTCCCATCTGTCACGCCCATGCATGCAGGAGCCTCGAGTACAGCGCCTTCACAGGCCCTCTTCCCGCCTCCCACTTGCCCCCCCCTCGTTTCCTTACCCTTGTTTCCCCACTCCATCTCGCCGCTTTCAACCCCAAACATCACTGCTCCCAACCCAACTATCACGGCCATGCAGGAGCCTTGAGTACAACGCCTTCACAGGCCCTCTTCCTGCCACCCTCGGTTCCCTCACCACCCTCGCGTACCTGTGAGTTGCTTGCCAGCAATTTGTGAGTGCCTTGTAACTCAGTGGTGACAGAATTGCTTCAAGAGTCACACCTTCTGCCACCCTCGGTTCCCTCACCACCTTCGCATACCTTTGAGTCGCCACCTGCACAAGAGAAACAACCTGTCGGTCTTTATTTGAGTTGACTCAAAAGCACCTGCACAAGAGAAACAACCTGTCAGTCTTTATTTGAGTCGACTCAAAAGCACCTGCACAAGAGAAACAACCTGTCAGTCTTTAGCGATTTGTGAGTGCCTTGTGCCTCACTGGTGACAGAATTGCTTCAAGAGTCGCACCTTCCCGCCACCCTCGGTTCCCTCACCACCCTCGCATACCTGTGAGCTGCACAGAGGAAACAAAAGCTGACCTGTGACTCTTCAGCGAGTTGCTTCTGAGAATTCTGTAAAGTGACACACACAAGCTCTGCCCTCGGCTCTCTCGGCTCCCTCGGCTCACCCTTGTGTACCTGTGAATTGTCAAAACCTCGCTTCCATACCCTATCCCTGAAATCCGCTTCTCTAGTCCTTGTTCCCTCCCTCGTCCCATGTGCAGTAACATAGACAGCACTCACTCATGTGCCGTGCTACCCCAGAAACTGTGAGGTGCCTCAGGACCCGCTTCTTGAAACGGCTTCCGTATCAGCCGCCCCACCTTCTTCTCGAAACCCCAGTCTCCTATCCTTCTTCCCTCCTGCACCCCACGTGCAGTTACATAGACAACACATTGCTCCCCTCCGCAACCACCCTAGCCCTCCTGTGAGGTGCCTCAGGACCCGCTTTCCGTCTTCTGTGTCGACTGCCGCGTCTTCTTCTAAGAGACCCCACTCTCCCACCCTTTGTCACTCCCTCATCCCACGTGCAGTAACGTAGACAACACGTCGCTCGTCTGCCCCACTACCCCAGCCTCCTGTGAGGTGCCTCAGGACCCCCTATCCGTCTTCTGTGTCGACTGCGCCACCTTCTGCTCCCAGTGCTCTGCTGCGGGTAAGCCTCTCTGCTTCCTGCCGCAGCTCATGTCTCACTTACCTGTTTTGAAAAGTTTCAAGGACGCCATTCAACCTTCCTCCTTCGGCTCGTGACCATCTAGATCTATAGACGTGCAGTCAGATCCATGGCTCTCCCTTCAAATTGACTTTTGAGTCGTCTCAAAAGTCACTTCGTTTTGAGTCAACTCAAAATTCATCTGTAGATGTGCAGTCAGATCCATAGCTCTCTCTTAACATTGTAAATCCCCCACACGCCATGTCACCTGCTCTTCCACTTGTCAGCCTTTCCCCCTGCCCACCCAGAGTCCCTCCTACTCCTCCTTCAACTTCTCCTGCTGCTACCAAACCCTTGTCCCTTGGCCGAATCCATTCACTCTTTTTCCATTCCCTTGACAGACACCTAGCTCCTCAGTCCCTTCGCTTCCGTATCTTTCCGAGTCAGTTGCATAATCCTGTCCCTAGATCCGTTGTTTATTTTATCATATGACTGATGTTTGTTATTCCTATTCCCTCTTTTCCCTGCCTGTTATGCCAACTCCGAAGCTCCACAAGCCCCGCCGATCCAGCCACCACCAGCACCACCACCAGCAGCACCATCACCATCAGCACCAGTACCTTCGCCCGTCCCGCCTCCACCATCCCAACCACCAGCTGCAGCACCAGCATCACCACCCGCAGGGCCACCATCACCAGCGCCAACGCCACCATCAGCACTATCTCCTTCCATCAGCCCACCCATCCCATCCTCACCATCCCCACCACCAACAACAACACCACCATCACCATTACCACCACCAGCACCACCAGCAGCAGCACCACCAGCAGCAGCACCACCAGCACCAGCACCAGCACCGAAACCTGCCTCGCCAGTGGCTGTGAGAGCCCTCCACGCCAATGCAATGACGGCTTTCGTGCTAGCCCTCCTGATTGCTGCCTTTTAATGCGAGTTGATGTCAATATCAACATGATTTTGTGGAGTATGACTGTATGGTGAGCTATCTTTATTGTTGTCAGTTGTTTAGCATAATTTCTTCGTTCTCAGCTAGTAAACACAAAATTAAGGTGAACATAGGAGGGGGGATCTGCGCATGGTGGTGTCTTTGCTAGAAGCTATGCACACCTTGCACCTGCATTGTCTTTATTAGTTTGTATTGCCAGTTTATTTGAACCTCTACGTTCATCACGTCTGTCATAGAACAGTGTACTGTTGCACATTGGGTGTTATGAGTTGTATGAAAGAAGAGTGCGCAGAATGCAATATCGCGGAAGTGATTACAACTACTGAGCAAACATCGGGGCCTAGGCATAATATAGTGTCAAGATAGTAGGTAATAGAGAGTAGAAACGTGGGGCCTAGGCTTAGTAGCCTAGGCCCTAACTTAGTATCGAGCGGGTTTTGCCCTAGGGTGAGAGTCGAGTGAGTTGAGAGGAAAATTGTGAAAAGGTGAGTTTCACAATAGGTTCAGGGGTACATATAGCATAGAAACACAATAAGGTGCACCACCAACAAAAGTTTACATAACTACACTAACTACAACTACAAGCAATTATAAAACATGACAAAATATTTCGACACGCCCCCATAATGCTTGTAGGTAGGTGTGTAGTTACAGCAACAGCAGGTACCCCTACCAACTCCTCACCCTCCTCCTTCCACTCCCCAACACTGCTGCAGAAGCAGCAGAGAAAGGGGGGAAAGAGGAAAGGTGGAGGGACGGCTGCTTGTTGCCTCACCTCCGCCACCCCGGTACCACCCCCCCCCCTCACCCACATCCTCACACCCTCCTCCCCCAGCGGCAGCTGCAGCGGTGGGACTGAAAGAAGGAGGAGGGAAAGGGAGAGAGTTGACCCCACGCTCCAACACCCTCCACCCCCATACCCTCCTCCCCACGGCTGCAGGGAGACAAGAGAAAGGGGGGGGTGGGAAGGAAGAAAGCCGCAGAGCGGCGAAGAGGCGTCGGTGCAGATGGGTCAGGGACGGCAGCAGGGAGTGCAGGGGCGGAGAGGCCCGTCGCGGGCCAGTGCCACGGGGCGCACGACGGGTAGGATAAAAGGGCCCGATCGTGTGCCTCGGGGCGCACGACGAGCAGGGCACCATCGTGTGCCTCGGGGCGTACGATGGGCAGATAAAGGGCACCGTCGCGTGCCACGGGGCGCGCGACGGGCAGGATAGGAGTCACACGCCCGTGGGCGGGACAAGGTAAAACTAAAATTCGTCACGCGCCCTAGGCGCGCGACCGGAAAATCTCAGCAGCGGAAGAGTAACGCGGGCCCACAGGCCAGGACGAAAACAGCTCCGATAACATGTCAAGATAGTAGGTAATAGAGAGTAGAAACGTGGGGCCTAGGCTTAGTAGCCTAGGCCCTAACTTAGTATCGAGCGGGTTTTGCCCTAGGGTGAGAGTCGAGTGAGTTGAGAGGAAAATTGTGAAAAGGTGAGTTTCACTATAGGTTCAGGGGTACATATAGCATAGAAACACAATAAGGTGCACCACCAACAAAAGTTTACATAACTACACTAACTACAACTACAAGCAATTATAAAACATGACAAAATATTTCGACATATAGCAAGGCTAGCTAAGCCCGAGGTCGCGAAGTCGTGCGAGGGTTGGGTGTAGGTTTGGGTTTGGAAAACCCGAAGGCGACGCGGAGGACGTTCGGGAGGCGAGGTCGTCGGACCGAGCCTGAACTCCGAAAAGTTGGAAATGTACGCGTAAGCGGTGCCTCAGTAAGGAATTAGCAAAATTCCTTACACTACCCCCCCCCCCTTCAAGAAAGGTGGTCAATATCAGGCACGTGTCGGCGAGAAAGATACTGCCGGAGTACCGAGTGCCCTTGTAGTGAGTCAGCCGGGACCCAGGTGTCGTCGTCACTTGTGCGATCCACCCATCGCAGTAGAAAATCGACGTGGCGGCCGGCTGGGGTCGCACGAATGCGATGATTCAATATCTTCCAGGGTTGGAGCGTGGGATCTGCTACCGGTCGGACACTTGGCGCCTGGTGGGGTCGAGCGACGTCGGAGGACTGGGGTGCCACGTAGTGGCAAAGTAAACTGACGTGGAAGGCGTCGTGGATATGCCAGTCGTCCGGGAGGAGAAGTTTCGCAGTGACCGGTGTCAGCATTCGAATGATGCGGAAAGGTCCCACGTATCGAGGACGCAGTTTTGCGGGTTGGGGCAGTTTGAGGTTTTTGGTGTCCAGGAGAACCATCTGCCCCTCGCGGAAGGGTAAACTTCGTCGGTGTTGGTCAGCGTAGCGGCTGGCGGTCGAATTCGCTTTTCGGATAAAGTCAGCTGCTTTGGCACGCGCGTCCTGGAGTTCCGAAATAAACTGCTGTGACCTGGGTACCGGGTTGTCGGGAGTTGTCGATGAGGGCACCACCGGGTCTATCCCGTAATTCAGGTAGAAGGGTGATTGCTTGGTCGTTGCAGATGGGGCGTTATTGTACGCAAACTCGAGCATGGGAAGGTAATCTTCCCACTTGGTGATGTCCGGGCAGTTCGTGCGAATCAGCTGCTCCATCGTTTGGTTTGTCCTCTCCGTCTGTCCGTCGGTTTGCGGGTGGTAGGACGACGAAAATTGCAGGCGGGTGCCGTACTGTGCCCATGTCTCCTGCCAGAATTTCGACGTGAATTTCGGATCTCGATCGCTGATGATCGCCAAAGGTAACCCGTGGAGGCGTACGACGGTCGAGATGAAGAGTCGCGCTGTTTCTTCGGCTGTGATCGTTGTACGGCAGGGCGCGAAATGCGCCATTTTCGTTAAGCGATCAACGACGACGAGCACGGAGTCGTTGCCACTTGCGCCAGCTGGAAGGCCCGTGACGAAATCCATAGTCACCTGTTGCCACGGTCGTTCGTGTGGCTCGAGGGGCTGCAGTAAGTCAGCTGGTCGTTGTCGTGATGACTTCATTGCCTGGCAGGTCGGGCAGGCGGACACATAGCGCTGCACGTCCGACGCCATGTCGGGCCAGTAGTAGTTCCGCTGCAGCAGCTTCAATGTTTTGTCGACGCCGAAATGCCCGGAGAGGTTGGAGTCGTGTACTTCTTGCGTCAGTAATTCGCGTAAGGGTCGGTAGGAAGGTACCCAAACTCGGTTAGTACCGACTTTTAGGTAGTAACTTCCATGCGGTGTAGTGACCCCGCGGTGTTGATTGGTCCTGAAAAATATGTCGATCCTGTAGCCGTGCTTGAATAATCCTGCCAATAAAGGGTTGGAATGGGCGATTATTACTGCTGCGGTCTGCATGGATGGGCGGGTCAGAGCGTCGGCGATGTTGTTGGCGCCCTTTTTATATGTGATGGTGTAGCGGAAATTTGATTCGAGGTAGTCGAGCCACCGGATTTGTCGTGGGTTGAGCTGTGGTTGGCTGCGCATGTACTGTAGTGACTTGTGGTCAGTTCGGATTGTGACATCCGCTCCCGTGAGGTAGCATCGCCATGTTCGAAACGCCTGCACGATGGCGAGCATTTCCTTGTCGTGAACCGGGTAGTTGCGCTCGGGCGGCTGCATTTTTCTTCACTCGTACGCGATGGGTTGCAGTCCGTTGCCGAAGTCCTGTAATAGCACAGCGCCGACCGCGAAATCGCTGGCGTCCGTCACGACTTCGAACGGTCGAGATGGATCTGCCAGTCGAAGCACCGGGGGTGAACTCAAAATTTTCTTCAGCTCGTTGAAAGCCAGCTGTTCTCTCTCCCCCCAAAAAAACTGCACGCCCTTATGCAGGAGATCGGTTAACGGCCTGGTTACCCCCGCTATATTGGGTACAAAACGGCGGACGTAGTTAACGAAGCCGAGGAAACTCTGCAACTCAGTGATGTTCGTGGGCGGCTTCCACTCCAAAATCGCTTTTACTTTTTGAGGGTTGATTTTAATGCCTTCCCCAGAGACAACGTGCCCCAGAAACTCCAGCTCCGACCGTAAGAACTCGCACTTAGAGCCCTTCGTAATCAGCCGGTTCTGCTGCAAGCGTCGGAACACTTCGTCTAAGTCCTGTAAATGCTGCTCCCGAGTCTTGCTGTACACCAGGATGTCGTCCAGGTAAACAATAACTTTTTTATCCAACATGTCCCGAAACACTCCATTCATAG